AAAGCGGTCGCTCCGGGACGTGCATTTCTTCGACGTCTCATCGCTTTGACCCGGGGTTTATCTCAGCTGCATCACAAGGTGCGCCTTAATCATGGGGTTAAAATGAACCTCATGATGTGGCTTCATTTCCTTGACCATTTTAATGGGGTTTCTCCATTTCTGACTAATGGTTGGGAGTCAAACGACACACTTGAGCTTTATACAGATGCCGCTGGTAGTATAGGATACGGGGCGTACTTCAAAGGGAAATGGTTTCAAGGGAAATGGCCCGAATCGATAGGTCAGTCACCTCTGTCTATAGCATACCTAGAATTGTATGCATTGGCCGTAGCTGTTTATTGCTGGGGGTCATTTCGCGCAAATCGCAAAGTCATATTCCGCACTGACAACAGCGCTGTATTTCATATTATTAACAAGCAATCGTCGCGATGTGACAAACTTATGCAGCTAGTCCGTTAATTCGTCTGTCAGTGTCTATGCCATAATATTTCTTTCAAGCCGGTCCAAGTTCCCGGTCGATTCAATGTTATTGCTGACTCTCTATCACATTTCCAGATGGATCGTTTTCGACAGGCCGCGCCGAGTGTGGAATCGTCCATGACGCCTCGGCCCGTATTCCATCTCAGTCAGTAACCGACAACTATCGCGCTTACTTCATCGGGCCTTATCAGACCAGTCTCATTAGACGTATCGGTCGGATTGAACAGATTTCTAACATTTTCTACACACCGATCTACCAATGTTTTACCAGAGACGTCTGGAGTCATTTGTGAATTTGTAGCCTAATACTGGGTCAGGTCTCTTCTACTACAGGGTGTCCCCAAAGAAATGCTCCACTCTCCTTTTTTCCCAAATTCAAGCAAACCTGAATGCATACATTTTCTTATTACATTGCATGGTAAGAATGCTTTGTGTCTTGGTTGTTACCTACCAAAAAAATTGGATCATACTATCAATCCACTAGGGACAGAAATGCTTAAATATGAACTCGCCTCCATTTGCCAACTGCGCTGGGGACTCAAATCACCAATTTTAAAATGTCGATTTTTGTCAAGTGTGCTTTAAAAAATTCTACTTGGTATCTATTATGAAAGACCAGTTATCAGTCATTATCAAGCATACAAGAGAAAACCAACCAACCATGGCATTGTCCATTTATTGGACTTTGACTAAAAAAACCTATTTGTAAATCAACCACACGTGGGTCAGTGGTCAGTGCCGATTTGCTTGACCGTGTTTTTTTTTTCAGACCAGAACCTTTTGTCACCTGATTTGAGGGAAACCCACCCTGAATTGTAGCACACAGCCAAAGGTGAACAATTGTTACGTGTGGTTGATTTACAAATAGGTATTTTTAGTCAAAGTCCAATAAATGGGCAATGCCATGGTTGGTTGGTTTTCTCTTGTTTGCTTGACAACTGATGACTGGTCTTTCATAATAGATACCAAGTAGAATTTTTGAAAAGCACACTTGACAAAAATCGACATTTTAAAATTGGTGATTTGAGTCCCCAGCGCAGTTGGCAAATGGAGGCGAGTTCATATTTAAGCATTTCTGTCCCTAGTGGATCTATAGAATGATCTATTTTTTTTGGTAGATAACAACCAAGCCACATAGCATTCTTACCGTGCATAATATGAAAATTTATGCATTCAGGTTTGCTTGAATTTGGTAAAAAAGGAGAGTGGAGCATTTTTGTTGGGACACCCTGTATAGCAACTTATAAATCAGTTGTGGGCTATTTTCACAAATTAAATAGTTTTCCAGACCCACATAAAGAATTGCTTGTATATGTCCCGTACAGGCATTGTACAAGTTTATTACATTACGACAGCAACTTTCAGGGCCCCTATTTTGCGCGGCCATTTCGACGACAGTCCGTTGAGTTTCGGTTCATTATGGCTTTAAGCGCATGTCATTTCTCGGACTGGGCGAAAATAAGTATCGCGCCCATTCCTATCGCATAGGTGCAGCGACAACTTCTATTAGTCTAAGTATTCTCAAACTGCAACTCCAAAATATCGGTCGTTGGCGTTCGGATGCGGTTAACACATATACAACAATTCTGCCGTGTTCCGACCGCGAAGCATTCCAGTTATTTGTGCCAGCGAACTTTGTGTTTCAATTAAGGAAATTACTTTAAAAATTTTTTACAAGTGTCCTATCAATTTCGGAGCAATTTAGAAGGGGCGTGGATATACCACAGGTGGTTTTCGGACTGGGGGACCGTTATTACCCTAGGTAAGATTTAAAGTGGATCCGGAGTGGGGGCCCGGTCATGCACCCCAGGTTCGGTGGGCCTGATCAACCCAATGGTGTGTAAGAGACATTTTGCCCAAAGGATTTCAGGAATGAAAGACTGGTATCTGGTCGTCTATTTATGTTGGTGGTGCGTATGGTGAACGGAAAAGGCAAAAAAAAAAGTCTCTGGTTTCTGGTATGCGCACGCGTCGCCGTAGCCATGCGCGTCGGCATAACGAAAAAGTGTTGGTTTTTTTTTCAATGAAAGATGATGTCTCAAAACCGCCAAACTCACTGGCTTGACTGGAATCCTGCTGCCTCACAATTTTAACGTGTTTTTAGATGGGGTTATGATCGAGAATAAGCTTTATGTGGCCTCTCTGGCCTCCCATATATTTGCACTTAGTTTAGTCGGGCACCATTTGCAGTCATCAGCCGACATTTGAAGCAAAAAAGTCAGGTAAAAAAAAAAAGCCGCGTCGCCGCACCACTTTTTGGACAAGCTCCATACCAGAAACCGGAGACTTTTTTTGTTGGCCTAACAAATCATGCTTTGATTTGGCATGAAGAATTAATAAACACATTCAGGCTGCGGCAAATCCAATTTTATGGTTATTGATGTTTTGATTGTATTCGTGTCTGAGTGTAATCGGACTTAATATCCCTTTTCTAAAACTCTTTCAATTGCGACTGATCAACCCACTTTGGAAATTCCTAGTTTTTGAGTAAAATCTATGTATCTATTTCGTAAAAAACTTGTGGGGTACCAAAACGGTACCCCGCAAGTCGGTGGGCATTCCTTGTGGGGTACCTCCCAATGTTCCGGTACCCCATAAGGCAGTGTTTATACGTTCACCCAAGCGTGTTTTTGCGTGCAATCGCGGACCCTCTATTGTTCCTCTTTTGATTTTTTTTAGGAAGACCTCCCGTATGTTTTGTACACGATCGTAAATTGGGGACATATTGTCCTATATTGTTCAACGTCCCCTATTGAATGCAGAAACAAACTCACACACCCATCCAACCTAGCACGTTTGTTCATGGTGTAAATCAAGGGTGTTATTTTGTTCCTCTTCCTCTTCCTTTGTTTGTATTCACTTTTTCGCAACAGCTCTCATTGGCATTGTACACGTTTTCTAACCGATGAGTCCTCGATTCTGTTTCTGACCTTGATTCTCCAATGATGTTACACATGTGTGTCCTCGATTTACACAAAAAAAACAAACACAGACATACCAGTATGTAATTGCCAGCAATCGGGTTCCCCCTATTGTCACTATTTTGTTTGTACCTCAACTTTTTAGGAAAACCTCCTATATGTTTTGTACACGATCGTAAATTGGGGACCTCTCGCTCTACAAATCAATGTGAATACCGAACATTGAAAATGTAACTGAAACACCCATTTGCGCTTTGCAACGGCTATGGAACTTTGAAAACGCACACGCTCTTGTGCAAAGTCTTTGGGCAAACTGAATTGCTAACATGTGCTGCATAATTGTGTGTGAATGTCGAATATCATATCGAAGTAATATAGCCATATTCACTGTAAAAACGTAGACCCACTTGTAAATTTCTCATATCTAATGTCAAAGTCAAAACTCACAATTTTTCATTAACTCTATTGACAAATTAAAACACTTGTTACTTCCTTGCTGAATAATGTCAACCTAAAAAAAATCAAACTAAAATGTTCTATTATGTACAAGTTTGTGAATGTTCAATAGCCCGTAAGAAACAGTTACATTTATTGTCTTAAGAGTTTTTAATTAGAGAAGTTATATCAAATAAAAAACACACACACACGATTCGTGTGCCCTCAGGTTTCTCTCAATCGAGATTTGTGTGTCCCTAGCATTTACCGGTATGTTGCTATAAAGGATCGTAGGTCTAGAAGGCTGGACATAAAATATCAGATGTGTTTGGGATGAACTTCGATCTGATATGAATGTATTTTTCAATGAAGTGGAAACATCTTTTTTTTCAATTGCAAGGAGCTAGAGCTTCAGGACTAATTTATGGGATAGTCACCCCAAACGTCAGCGTAACACCGAACTCCCCCCCCCTCCCCAGAATAATGGAAGGTAAAACATGGTAAACAAGTTGTGTCTAGAACTGTGGATAGAACACCGAGCAGGATTTTGTAGTGAGTTGATAATTTCTTTTTCGTTTACCTCTTTTGCAGACTTTTAATATCAACCCCTTCATATAAAATCGACACACAAGGGTCGCATCAAATTTTGCTTTATTTTCCCGCTACGCTAAAATTCTGTAAATTCCAATGCACTTAACCCTAAAAAGGCCGGGTTATTATTTTATCTCTCAGCAGGGGCGGGGGTGGGGCCTAAGATTTCGGCCATCGAGCAACTAAAATGTTGAACCTCGGTACATGCATATATAGAACATCTTGTCATAGACATACTCAAGAAATGTCATGCTTATAGGTTAAAGCGTTTTGGAATTATGGCTAAATAATTATTCATATGCATGAATGGTAATTCTGCTCTGTGTACACTTTCTATACGGGGAAATTCAGTTTTCATGGCGCATAGCGCCGGAAAAATTTTCGCTGTGCGGCAACCCGTGGTCCGATTGTTATGTTTTTCGTATCATTAGATCCGTAGCGCAAGCCTCGAGGTTAAAAAGTTAGAACAGCTCGGGTCGCGAAAAAAATTCAAGGCTATCGCGAGACAATTTCTTTTAATGAAAATGTACTGACTGATCAAGGACTATCTATACTGAAAGATATCTGACTTACCAGTGATGAACACCGCTAGAAGCAGAATCAAGAGGCGATCCATCTTACCCATGGCGTCCGACGAAAAACGGTTTGATTTCCAGCAGAGACTCCACTTGTTTTATTATAGAATTTCCCTCCGAGCGACAGATGGCTCCTGGCCCGCATCGCGTGAGAGGACTTGTAGGTTGTTCCAATATTTGCTAGATGCCGACAACTTTTCATTTTGTCTGTTGACGTGGTTCATCGGTGAGCCATTAGCTTCCACATATCCGTCACTTGTCTAGGGCTGCCTGTTTGGTTATGTTGGCAAAGGTTCAATACAGCCGCAGCCCTCAGCATCAAAACAAGCAAGGATATTAGATTTTACTACAAGTGATTTCGGTTGTCTGTGCAAGCTGTAGTCTTTACCCGAAATTTGGGATTCGGAGTACACCCCCTTCACCCTGTTTAAGGCCTGTGCCCCCTACCCTCGTGCCCCACTCATTAGGGGAAGGCAAAATTGATTTTCTTTTTATCGAATTTAGTGTCACATCGAGAAGAAGAGGCCCCCTAATGTCCCCACACAAACTGACCCGTTACGCTACAACGGAGGGGTGCTGCAGTCGAATCCCGCTGCCATCACGAAACAAATAACAATAAAGAAACTGCCTCTATCCGCTCCGTTCACAAGTACCCCCTTACCGGCAAAGAAAGCACAGTTGGGGGACCGACCGACGCCATCTTGCCTGACTGCAATTTTGCCGTATCATGTACCACTGCATGTACATAGTACAAATCCCCTGGTGTACGTGCGTCACACACAAGGAACGGTGCGCGTCAACCAGCTAAATGTCCCGCCCATGGGACGTCGTTGCTAGGTAAAAGGGCGCCCTCTTCTTAGCGCACGGAGCCCATACAAGCCTCATGAAGGAAACTGCCTCTATACAAGCCTCATGAAGGAAACTGCTTATATAGCCTACACGCGGTTATATTCATGTCCACACCTTTACATTTCTTGAAGTGGCCCAAAATGTCAAATTTTACACAACACATTTTCCAGGACAAACCGGTAAAATGTCGGAGAAATAGCATCGCACAGGCATTCCAATTCAAATGAGATTTAATATGAGTCAAGACTGAAACATTACTTTCACTGTCAGGTTTTGTTTTTCAATTGAGAGAAAAATCAGGTAATTTTATGAAATGAGAATGGTAATTGTTGGCAGTTTTCCTTTGCACGTGTCCGCTCATTGTATTCATGAACGTGTATCGGTTATTGATCGATGGTGGGCAGCAACTTTTTTTATTAAAACAGAAAACAGATGTGAATAGAGTTCGAAAATTACGTGAAATTTTCACAGTTACTAGTCCATGTACTTTGTTCTTATGATATTTTTTATTAAATTAAATGAATTAAATGGAGTGAGCCACATATCTTTCTTTATGTTTTCTAACTAGATCACATCTTTTTTGACTCATCCTGTATTCTTAATATTATGCGATAAGTAAGCTAAGCAACCAAGTTAATATTTTACTTTTGTGCAGTACTTCCTTGCTAGGTACATTTTCTCTGGTGACAAAGTTGCATCATCAGCAATTCGAATTGAGCGCTGACAGCTGCATCTGCTTTTAAGCCGATTTAAACAATATTTCATTGCAAACATTTCCTTACAAACATAACAGCCGTTCTATCCATATAAAAACAGTTCGGCCGCAATTGAAATTAAATGAATAAACGGTTAATATTTCCCGTCGTATTTACATTCTCTTTTCATTTCGTTCAGTTGGTTTCGGATTGGAACAACTTTCGCTTTTTGTGACATCCCAACATTACAACTGTAGTTGTAAAACATCCTCAGATATCTGTACTTTCAGGCACACATCTATTTTCACTTGTAAAAATTGACCCATTGACGGATGCTGTGGTCGAATCCTGCCTCTATCATCAGTAAATTAAATTGACAAAGGGAACTCCCTCTGTACAAGCGGCTATATCGATGTCCGCATATGTGTGTATCTTTAAACTGTGCCCTTTAACTCCAAATGTTCCACCACAAAATTCCCATTGCCGGCCGGTAAAGTGTTGGGGGAAAAAAACATTGGCTCTCACTTCCAGTTGTACATAATTGTCTTTGCTGCAACCCTACAATCCTGGCCAAGTCTCGCTGGGTAACCGTTCAATGTTGTCTCTCATTGCGCGGCGTGTGCTCTATCAGCTGGAGAGAACAACATTGACCGGGGAGCGGGGGAGTGGGTGACCGTGGCAGGCTCGGGAAGTGTCCCAACCATTTTGGCCGGGATTGTAGTTGGCAATACCCTAATATAATATAATATTCTATATAGGGTGTGTGCTTTTCAGTGCATTTTATACGCACGAACAAAAAATGCAACTATACATGATACTTGGCTTTCGTGAGTAGATTTAACATTTGCTAAACGACGACTGCTTCCTTGCACACTTTCGTTAGTTATATTTAAAGGGTATTCGTGAATGCGTATCCATTTATAATCAGTAGTGGGCAAGCGAATTTTGAAGTACATGTACTTCTACTTTGAAACAAGTTTTAAATAGAGTATGCAAATTACATAAAATAACATGTACCAGTACTTTATTATTAAACAGCTCATTTGTCGTTTGAATTATAAATAAAGGTAACTACAAAATGCTGAGACTCAGATGTGCTCAGCAGTGCTATCTTCGCAAGTATACCACATTTCAACACAATCTCTCTTTGCACGGCCAAGATCTTGGGGTAGGGCGTCAGATCAGCTCCCCGTTACCCCATCCCCTCAAGATGGCCGACATAATAAAGTTGAAAAAATATGGACATTGTTTTTTGGATTATGCAGATCCTAACGTTTTTTAAAATGTATAGTTTTGCTAATCCAAAAAAGGATCAAACAAAGAAAATACATTATGTACCGGACTATTTTTCGGATGTTATTTTTATTGAATGGAGCGAGCAGCATTTCTTTTAATATATTGTATCTAACCCAATCACTTTCTTTTTGACTTATTCCGCTTTTCGCTAGTCTTAACATTATGCTTTAAGTAAGTTCAGCAACCAAGTTGAAGTTTAACTTCACCTTATTTGCTCGCTGAGCAGGCTTTCTATATGTCAGACAAAAAGTTGCATTATCAGCAGTTCGAACAAAACGGTAACAGATGTATATGCTTTTTTGAGTCGAGTTCAAAAATATTTCATTGCAAATACAACTGACTTCCTGTCCATAAAACACAGTCTGGCCCCAATAGAAAGTAAAAAAAGACACAGTTAATATTTATCTTCGTATTTACATTCTCGTTTCATTTCGCTCTGTTTGGTTCGGATAAGCGTCGGAGCTGCAGGGTTGAAAATTTTCCCTTTTCCATTGAAACACAAAAATACTGCACGGGGGGGGGGGGTTGACCACAAAAGCAATATAACCTAAAACAACCCTTCAGATATATGTACTTTGTTATCGTGCACCTATGTACATTTATAATGAATATAATATATCTGGAATAATAAGTGACATTTGAAAATATGTATCCATGAGTTACTGTTCAATAATCAGTTATCCCATTATCATGGACGATCTCGTGAATTCCATTTAGTAAAGACAGGCGTTATTTCTTCAGATTAATTGATCCCTGGCCCTTCATTTTTTTTGTTAATTTGCTGAATATAATTTTGTACACCAGGATTTTAGGTTAAAGTTTTCCAAGTCTCTTAGTCTACCAACAAATGTTTCTGATAACTTTCAGCCGTCCATTGAGTGTTTCGAATCGAAGGCTTAAAAGATGTAATACTAGTGCCGGCAAATGTTAACATTTTTTAGAGGGCAATATTAATGTTATAGACCCCAAAATTCAGCTATTGTTACCATCCCAACTGGCAAAATCTTGTTGCTATTTTGTTATTTGCTAACCATCTCTAGTTTATATTTTGATATGATAGCCTTTGTAGCTAACCCATGGTTATCACGTCCTAAATTATCAGACCGCAACAGCAGGCAGTTGTTTTTGTTCTGTTGGTTGGAAAAGTCATTTACTATAATGACTGCGTTGGCTGCGTTCATTACTTTTCTGTTATTCACTGCCTTTGTAGTAACTTTGATAACCCATTACATATTGACCGGTGCAACAGAGCCCCTAAAGCAGGGACATCTCTCCGCTAGGATTTTTTTCGCCGTTTTCTAATAAACCCGATGGAATAGACAATAGATGAATAAATTGAAGGCACTATTGGACGTTGGCAACCAAGTTAGGATGAACTCCAGCCAACGCGGAATGGCGTTCCCCGTGAAACCCTCCACCGTCTTCCAGACTAAATACGGCGTGTAGCAACCAGCGAACCCCAAGGGCTTTGTTGTCCTGGATGTTGTTTGCTCCGTTGGGGTCGTTCGCTCTGGCACGTCTCTCATGCCGTCGGCTGATTTGAGTCAGACGCGAGTAGAGGCATGCCATCACGACGGTCGGACCAATGTCGGTAAAAACAAGCAACAGAATGTTCACCCAAGTCCAACCTCTCATAATGAATCAAAGGGCCGGAACCGGAAAATAGTTTGCAGAAAACAGAGCCAAGATTAGGGTAGGTATTGGCATTGAGAGTAAAAGGGTCAAGGATGCAATTATCAGTATGATGATGCGTCGCCGGGTACACCATTATAGGCAATTTGTAGGGCCAGGTGACGGCTATGAAGCGCTCAACGTTTAGGTAAAAAAGCGAGAGAAATGACATGCCGATATACACGGTGGCAACACCGGTGACAGTTCTACAAACAACCTCGCCATACGGCCAACGGTCCAGCGCTGAAGGGATGATGCAAAAGAGTGCTAAAACGCCGACTAAGATGTCGCACACGGCCAGTGAAGTCATCAAAACTTGTGTGCTGTCGGCCAGTGGCACGCGGCGCGTCACGGCAATACACAGTACATTTCCACCCACAATTAGCATTCCGAGGACAGCGATGAAGCAAGTACGAGCGGCAATGAGAGGCGGGGAAAGTCCTGAACCGACTATTGCTCCGGAGTTGTTCATCTTGGAAGTTGTATACTTCTCTAGCGCTTACAGAAAACAACACAAAGTTGCAGAAGCCGCTTGCTGACAATGTAATTTATCCTTTCTCATACAGCTTTGAAACCTCAGTTGTATTAAACGAACTCCCATGCCAAAAATTGACCACTGTCAAAATTGCTTGTCTTGGTCAAGTCAGCAATAATGAGGGTTTGATGTCCATTTTACCCTGTTTATATACATTTGAGGAAGAAAGCAACCAGTTTGCCGTAATAAATCTGCATCACAGAACGTGTATTAAAATAGCCTGCATGGTGTCGAAACGATGCCAGTCATACCTGGAATATGCCTGTCACAAAATATTGTAAAAACGAAGAACCAATCATACATTGCGCAATAGATGCATCGAGTGTCTGAAATGTTGTCTGGTAATTGTGGCACAATAACAAGCTGTGCGTCGATGCAAAATGCGTCAGCGTTTAAATATGAACTGTTGTCTGGCAACTGCATAGCTATATCTCATACGAATAATCTAATCAATGCATGATTGACACAGGCAGTAAAGACCTTGTTTTGTCTTAAAGTGACTAGGTAACGAACTTCGAATAAGAACTGTCTTGTCCGGTACTCAATGCATGATTGACACGGGCAATAAGGACCTAATTCATGTCTTGAAGGACAAGATGATGGATTCGAGTAAATTGATGCAGTTTTAAATAAAACTGTCCCGTCTTGACGAGAGTTTAATACGCTTTGGTCTCTTCTGCCAAGTCACCTGATGCTGGTGGATTGATCAACCAAAATTGAGATTTAATGAAAGAGTCTTAACATAAGTGTTGTATCCGAGTCGGTACTGACACTGCTACAACTGGGGATATGTACAAACTCAAACCTGAAACAAATCTAGTTTTTGACACGCACCAACTCAAACTTAAAACAAATCTCTTTTTTTGACACTTTGACGCGGAGAATTGATCACCAGAATCCTCTATAGTGAATCGAAGTCTCTTTCATTAAATCTCAATTTTTCTCAGTCATTACAACAGCATCAGGCGACTTGGCACAAAGACTAAAACTCATCAAACTCTCATCAAAGACAGGACAGTTTTATTGAAAACTGCGTCAATGTGGACAAGTCCATTGTCCATTACCTATAGTCATATAAAGGCAAAACGAGGTATTTATTGCTTGTGTCAATCAGGTGTAGAGCAGATTATTCTTATAAGCTTACATGACTAGGGTATGCGATTGCTAGATAGGCTTCTTATTCAAACCCTACTGCGTTTTGTATCGAAGCACAGCTTGCTATACTGTACCATAATTACAATTCAATATTTGGGCACTGGATGTATCTGTTGTGCATTGTTGGATTTGTTCTTCACTTGGCAAATGACGAACTGTTGTGACAGACATGTTTCATGTATATCTGGCATCGTTTGGACATCCTGCAGGCTATTTTTAATACCCGTGTTTCAAGCCGGTCTATTTCAACTTTGGAACGAACATCAAACTTTCAATTGCTGAAAAGACGACGAATTGTCTAAGAAGTCTGATGAAGTCGTACGCGTGTGTGTGTTTGCTCAACTGATGGTTTCTTCCGAAGAACAATTTTGGCTGGGGAGTTTGTTAACACAACTGAGGTTCTTAAGCGGTACAAGAAAGGATGAACCGCATCGTACATTGAAACAACCAGCTTGGGCAAGTTTGTTTCTGTTATTTTCTGCGACTACGATAAGCTGAGGATTTTGAAGATGATTAACTCCATGTAAGCAGGCGTACATTTTCTTGGGAAAGTGATTTTGTTCTCTTAGTTGTCCAACCTCGGATCTGAGACAGGAATAGACAATTGACGAAGAACAAGCTTTGTGCAACTGGCATTGTTATATTTGGTATACTCCTAAAGAAGCTGAAAATGTTCAACGAATCTATGGCAGAGGAAGTTTCAGGGTTTTCCCCGCCTCTTATTGCCGTGCGTACTTGCTTCATCACGATCCTTGGATTGCTGATTGTGGGAGGAAATGTACTCTGCATCGCCGTGACGCGCCGCGTGCCCATCTTGGCTGACAGCACAAAAGTTTTGCTATCGTCACTGGCTGTATGGGACCTCTTAGTAGGTGTGATAGTGCTCTTTGACATCATCCCTTCAGCGCTGGACCGATGGCCTTTTGGCTATGCAATTTGCTTAATAGTCACCGTTGTGACCGACGTGTGTTTCGGCATGTCAATTCTCTCGCTTTTTTACCTGAACATTGAGCGCTTCATAGCCGTCACCCGGCCCTACAAATTCCCCATCTGGTGCTCCCGGCGACGCACCATCATACTAATAATTGCATCTTTGACCCTGTCGCTCGTTAATTTTATAACTATTCAAATCGGACCAAAAGCTTCTGCCGAATATTTCCCAATTTCGTCCACATGCTATATAAGGTCGGGTTGGACTGAAATGAGTATTCTGCATCTTTTTATCACCGACATTGGTCCGACTGCCGTGATGATATGCCTCTACTCGCGTCTGATTCAAATCAGCCGACGGCATGAGAGACGCGCCCGAGCAAACGACCCTTATGGAGCAAACAACATCCAGGACAACAAAGCTCTGAAGGTCTTTCTTCTAGTCACCTTGACGTTCGCTGGTTGCCACACGCCATTTTTCGTCTGGAAGACGGTGGAGGGTATCACAGGGAACGCTATCCCACATTGGCTGGAGTTCGCCTTTGCCTGGTTGCCTGTGTCCAATAGTGCCTTCAATGTGTTCATCTACTGTCTATTCCATCGGGTTTATCGTGAAACAGCGAAGAAAATCCTCGCGGAGAGATTTCCTTGCTTTAAGGGCTCTGTTGCACCAGTCAATATCTGAAGGATTTTCCAACTCCATATACAAAGGCAGGCAACGAAACATTGTACCCGAAATAAGTAAACGCAGGTGACGAACAGAATATCCCTTTACATCCTGTGTGGTGTAGGTTAAAATCACCACCTTACCGGCCTGCTAGAAAGTACTGCTTCGGGTGTGGACATGAACAACACTGACATGTAGCCCGGAAAATATGGCCATTGTGGGTGCACACCGGTAAATAGGCTTAAACCCATTAAAGTTACACCCTAAAAATATTCTATATTAGAGAAATCTGAGAGCCATAAAATTGGAAAAAATGAAGAGATATGGCAATGAACCTCTGGACCGGACTTGGGTCTTCTAATTCTGAGCATTTTTGATGCAATTGGGCTCGAAGCTGGCACTATTTTGCCATGTTGTGGAGGGATCGTTTTTCAAGATGGCAAATCTTCCGCTTTGGGAAAAATAAGGGTTATCTTCTTTGAGTGAAAATTCCTCGAAAAGTCAAGGGTCAACTAACAAAAAAATGAAAATAAAATAAAAGGTGACATATTGATCATTCTTTTACTGTGCAGCTTAAATAGCTGTGAGAGTTCTGAGTATGTTTAAAGGGATTTTGAAGTGTGGGGATTGTATTGCAGGGTTGCACCCTTACGGAACACCGGATAAAAGGTGCCCGTTGAATGGTCAGAATTTCGAGGTCAAGACGCAGTCTTGTTTTGCATAAGTGATTGCCGAATCTGCTTGAATGTCATGTCCCTACTGTGATGCGGGCATTCGCTTACAAAGTGGGAGTGGTTCTCCTGGGAAGCAAGCACGGCGTCAAAACTGCCTCCCTTTTGAATTGGGCTAAGCAAACCTTGTAACTTAACTGTTATGTAAATAGTGTGACACAAGATTGCTTATTTAGAATACAATATTGTTGTGTTCAAAGTTGTGCATATTTGTGATGCATATATATAGATTAATCTTTGAATGTCGTAAGCAAAAAGAAAGTGAGCACTAAGAAACTAAATTGGTATCTTTTGACGAAGGGGGACCAAGAAAACATAATAAGTTATAAGAGGCATGGGTAAAAGTAGAACAAACAGGGACATAAAACAGATTGACGTTAAAAAATGTTGACTGCAAAGACCTTACACTTGCACTAACTAACTAACTGTGAATAAGCGGTTTGGTGTTTTCTAAATGAGATCTGTCAAATGTAACATATGTAAAAACAGTCCAAAATTGTATTTATTTGTAACATAATGTGAAAATGAAATACCGAACTCTCCTGTTATGACATCATGAATATTTAATGAGGTAACATTGTGGCCACCATATCTCAGCAATAAGATAGGATATGATTCCAGTTTATTGCACATTTCATTATATTGGCCTGAATTGATGTCCCTCCTGGAATGTCAAGGTCATGTGACCCTTACTTCACGGTGTTAAGAGAAGTGTGAATTTTAGACTCAAATTTTAGATCACACTAATTATCAATCCCATGGGGTTGATACCTTATATTAGCATGAAGTGACATTTCAAGATAAGAATATTGCATTAGCATTACCGCACAACCTATTGTTATAATGTTATTGCGTCAAGAATATTCAATAAGGCAATTTTGTGGCCACCATATCTCAGGATTAAGATAAGATATGATACCTAATCATATTGCACTACAGTGTACTGAACGTGTGCCTGCTGAAATGTAAAAGGTCACGTCACCCATAATTGTGGTGTTACTAAAAGTGCCATGTTCGAGGATTTTAATTTCTATTTTAAGAGTTATAGTTTCTCGGAAAATCATTACACCATATCTTACCATTCGATCAAAAATCAACATCATGATGAAAATAGCTTTGTGATTGTTCAGTTCCAACCAAAATCTCCTTTTGATTTCATTTTTATTGACTCATTACTTGAAGATATCGTCACCGACACAAGTAACACTCCGCCTGTTAAACCTTTTTTTCGGTTTTCAGTTTTTATTTGTTTACATTATTAAACAATATTCATCAAGGTCTACCATTGTACGAAGTTTCAAAGCTTCACTAGCTTTACTTTAATAATTACGCTAATTATCCTTGGCAACTTTTGCGCGAAAGTGATAAATTGTGTTTTCACGAAGTAGCACTCAAGTTTCATTTACCGTTGCAATACATGGCGCGCACTCTGCTCAAATGCCAGCAAAAACGTTTTCACGAAGTAACACACTCCTTGATTGAGCGCGCGCGCCGACCTCCGTTTCCACAAAGTAGCATTTACCTAGTGTTGTAATACATTGAAGCGTGCTACTTTGTGAAAACAAAAATGTATAGTTTCGCAGCTTTTTGGTTTCACGAACTGACACTCACTTTTTTCTCTTATTTAGTGTTGATCTTAATAGCAAATGGGTCAAAACAGCAAATTTAATAACACCAATACATCAAGTGTCCACAACGAGAAACACAACTGAAAATACTCTGCAGTTTACTTTTGACGCAGAGTGTTTTGACGCAAATTGCAAGGTTTTTTTTTAATGCTATGTACATGAGTGTTACGTCGTGGTATCAGTGACGATATGTATAGGCGGGGATCAACCGTGACACTTGTAAGTTGACTCGTGCTGCAAATTGTGTCAATGCGCGAAAGTGCAGCTACTACCACACCGTTGTCTACCAGTCCTCCGCAACACCAGACCATCGTTTCGAACATGTTCACATTGATCTTGGTTGGACCCCTCCACACTCGAAAGGTCACACATTATCTGCTCACCCACATGACCGTTTTAACCGCGGGCCACCAGGGGTCAACTTTCAGGCTCTATACCGAACTGACAATTTATTAATGGGATTGCGCGTTGACCACCAATTAACAACACATTTCTTTGATCATTGAAAAAACGCGACCGCCTTCATCGGAATGGCTATATAGCGAAAATATTACCAATGTGATTTTGCTTTTTGGAAAGGCATGCCCAACAAGATAACGGTTAACGGTTTTTGAATAAAGAACACTGACAGTCTTAATAGTTTATGATAGATACGATAATTAATGTTATGAAAAATTGCACCGATAATTTTCTGACGGAAACAGATGACAGACGGTAAGTGAAATACAAAGTAAAGTTAGAAGCATGCAATTACGGAAGACCTAATTGATTGCAATAATTTGCTGCAAAATTTGTTGCAAGGTACGAACCCAGAATGTAATTTCTATACTTAATTAAAGGTTTATTTCTTTCGCTAATTAGGAGTTTCATAGTTTTTTTTTTTTATCTGTTTCGCATTAGTTATTTCATTTCTGTACTAAGATACATTAACATCTACAAAGTAATAATAATAGCAAGAAAATAATGTGTTTTGTGTTTTATCACTCCTCGGGCCAACTTGTAAGCTGGTGTACTAAAAACGAAGAAAGCTGTTCTCAATTTTAATGTCAAGATTTTTAATGTCAAGATTTTCCCGAAGTGAATAGGTTATCGTCTGCCATTAAGTTCAGAAGACTAACTTTTGACACAACTGTTTGCTTAGCCTAGATTGCCGAGATTGTACTCCATGTCAGAGTTGTAATGACTCGACTCGAGTCCGACTCCAGTCAAAATTTTTGGTGACTCGACTCGACTCGAGTCTCTATGGGTAAATGACTCGACTCGACTCGAGTCACTGCAAGCAAATGACTCGACTCGACTCGAGTCCCTCATCAAAAGATTCGACTCATCAACTCGAGCGAATGCTAATAAGACTCGAGTCCCAAAAATAAAAGCAAAATTTTGCGAAAAGTATTTGCAATGACTTACGGTGCGAATTTTACGTTCGTTTACAAACATACAACGTGTCACAGACTCCCACCTTATGGTTCTGGAACGCACAAAATACTATTCAGGCACCGGATTTTAAACACATTTTCCAATTCGTTGTTTCATCATTGGCTTTGGGCGATTTCTTATAAAGCCTCTTGGATTCGAACGCCGGCTAAATTTATGCCCTCCTTTTATACATTTGGGTAAATAGTGTTAAAATATTCGTGACTCGAATTGACTCGAGCTAAATATTTGACTCGACTCGACCTTCGACTCGAGTCACTTCTTTAAAATGACTCGACTCGACTCGAGTCACTTCTTTAAAATGACTCGACTCGACTCGAAGTCACAAAAATCAGTGACTCGTTACAACTCTGCTCCAAGTACAGAGGTTTTATTTGTGCTACAGTGGTTGCGTGTCCGTGTGTTGTGTATCTGAACTTGTAATGTGGGTTTTCCAAATACATGTAAGTACTTTTAAATTAAACTAATTAACTTGATGTATTTTCTCTACCATTTCTTTATCACAACAAGCAAGTCTTATGCTATTTTTGTAATCTACCGTGCAATTTAGCCTGCGGGGCCTTTGGAAAAATAAACAAATATACATTCGAGGCAAAATAATGCAGCGGGAAAAAACACCAAATCCCAATATCGGTGTACATGTACATGTATAGCCAGGGAAGCTTCGATCCAACCACCAAACGTGTTGGGCGGAAGTAATGAGAGCAATTTCATTTTAATAATTAGACTGATTCGGAAATTAATGAAATATATTTACCCACTGCAGAAAGGGATTAAAATGAACTGGCACACATATACCAAATGTACACGTTCACATACTTACACGTTCACAAAAAGGGTATGGGTAGAAAAATAACTCATTTTATTTCAATCTGATAAAATTTAGCCACGATGTGGGGTAATTACCACTAGACACACGTAATACGTACATGTACGTCAACCTAATTACACGCTTTATTAATATCCGTCGCACCATTTAGTCAACGAAATGGATCCACGAAAATTCCACGGCAATGAATATGAACTAATGCGATAAGAGCAACAACAAAAAATATTATCAAACTGTGTGAAAATAATCTAATATTTATTTTACCGAAACAAAACACCACGTCAAAGAATTCAGACCGTATGGAAATTATAAACAGTGGGCCTCCTGTATGTACATACAGTGTATATCTACTTGTACATGTATATGTAAAACAAAAAAAATTGGCTTCGCCTCCCCGGGTGGCGGGAAGGAGTGTACAATTATGTCCCACTCTCCCTCAAGTTATCTTCAAACGACGCGCCAGCCAATCGGAGTCAACTTCAGAAACTGTGACGCCATTTCTATCAGACATCTATTTGGGAAAGAATTTAGTATCCATACGCTACTTCAGTGGCTGTGTTCTAAGTCTATCAAGAGTCAAGTACATGTTCACAGTATTTCCTATCAAAATTGAAAGTGTTTGTTAGTCCCAGATTCATGTCTTTTCAACATGTTTGCAATGACTGACCTTCATCGAGATGATATACATTGTATGCATTCGACTCTCATTATAAAGAGCACTTTTATAAAGAGTTCTGCTTTATAAAGAGCAAATTCTGAGGTCTCAAATTTCAGGTTCTCTTTGTGTTTCTTTGTTTCGCTGTCCTTTTATAACAACATTCCTGTTATAAAGAGGTAATTTGGCTAGTCCCATCGACCTTGTTATAACGAGAGTCGACTGTAATGAGAAAAAGTGGCGTAAGGATGCAACATTATTTTCCGAAATGTGGAGCGGTTGATTGGTCATTTTGGATGCCATGTTGTTGTAATACAACAACGGGTTACCAAAGACCAAGGCCCCCGCTGAATGGTCAGAATCTGGAGGTCAAGACGCAGTCTTGCTTTGCATAATTTATCACCGAATCTGCACTTATATCTTAGCTCCTTGCTGTGCAAGGGCATACTCCATAGACTACAACCTCCCCCCCCCCCAAAAAAAAAAAAAACACGGAGGCTGACACTGCAATTGCTTTCAAACATTTTGCAGGACAATGTTACATTTTTTTTTTTCAAATTGGACAGTTGGAAGATTTAGACCTTTGTAAGAGGTTTTATTCCCTTTTACTCAACCCATGAAAAAAGCAAAGTGAGTGGTATAAATGTAGCTAGGTCAGCCCTATTTGGAATTCATGCACTGGGCTTTACAAAATAAAACACGATTGTAAAATTACAAAACAAGCATTGCCATCAAAACGTACACCACACTACACACAGTTCAAGTCCAATTGCCGATTATAGGACGTACACTTGACACGTACAAATGTCCACGGATGTAAAAATGAAATAGGCTGTACATGTGCACAAATGTACATGTACATAATCATGCATAGTGAAAAATACTAACAATAAAAAGGCACCCGTCGGTTTTAAGTTGTCTATCTTATACTGCCGTGCACACTTCTGTGTTTGAGTTGTTTTTCACACTTTCAATGTTAAATATCGAGAAACATAGTGTCTGTACATGCCTTACTGCCAACTGATTTCAAAAATGGCCGGATGTCTGAAACACACCAGTGGTTCTCATCATCAAGGAGTCTTTTCACTCATCCTCTTCATGAACTCTTGGAAGTTTTTCGCCTCAAACTCGGTCATGATTTTGTTGAGGGCATAGATCTCCCGCCTCTGCCGCTGTTTCCAGGCAACGGCCTGGTCACGCTGGAGCTGCTGTTCTGTCTTCCGGGCCTCCTCCCTCTGCTGCTGTTGCTTCTTCTTTGCTTTCTGCTCCATCCCGGACAGGCGATCTCGGACAGCTCGCTGGCTCTGATGCCAAATGAGAGGGTGGATAAAAAATTATTTGTTAAAAGGGGAAGTTCAATCTATGTATTTTCAATTGTAACTTTATGTAATAAACCAAGTGATATTCCAGGGGAAAACCCACAGACGTTGACAATACATGTAGTAAAAAACACACACGCAATTCACAGTTTAGCCTTTGGTGGGATTCGAACCCAATTCAAAGAGAGGGCGGGTATTAGGAAAGCATCACTGTGATAAAGTTCAACACTGTCCAGTTTATTATACAACTTGGAGTATTAGTGTCTGTATTCTTGGGAGGACACTTGAAACTTATTATCATTATGGGCATGTTTTAGAGACAGGCAAAGACCTTATGGATAGCCCCACGAGCAAGCTTTTTAAGAACAGATTTGTCTTGCCTTTTTTTTGTTCATGTTAAATGCCTCATCACTATTTGAAAACCACATCCTTCGTTAAAAGATGAAGTACAAAAATGTACATGAAGATTTATTAACTTTGCTAGAGTTTGATTAACTGTTCTCTACATTTCCAGTTTGTTCAGTTGTTGTTTCTATTTTTAACATATGAATGTCAATGCTTTACACAATACATGTATGCTTTTAAAATAGCTACATGTACATGTATTTGCAAGCTCTTTTTAGTTAATTTGTGCTTTTAAAGGGGGTTGGGGCCTTCAGAGTGCCAGAGGTTAACTTTAAAGAAGCACTTTCCTTACCCTTAAGTCCATCATAGATGGGATGTACTGGTACCTCTGCAACATCTGAGGGGTCGGGGTACCAGGCGGTGCACAGGGAAGAATCAAGCCACACTCCCTGAGGTTGCCAGACTGTTTCTCTGACAGGTACACCCTTGTCACCCTTGACATGTTGCCTTGGTCTCTGGAGCCGCCCCCAGGTCCAGACGGGCCAGGGATTCGAGGTGACACCCTGCTGGCATAGATGACTGGGTCGGGGCCCTCAAGGGAAACTTTGCTCATGAGGAGAGCCCCCTGCGGTGAATCCCTGTATGGAGAGTTTGTATACTTAGGAATGTCTCCTCTCTCATCACCCAATGACTTTTTCTCATTCTGATGAGACACAATCCTCTCTGTGTCACATTTGCTGTAGCGTGAGCTGTACACTTCTATCTTTTTTGTTTCCACCATAACAGGCATGGCCCGGAGTATGGCACCCAGAGAGTTATCTTGTAATGGAGCTGTTTTATCGGAACTGGATCGCCTGCTATCCTGGGGATGCTTCTGTAAATGGTGGGCCCTGGATTTTGTCCTTTTGGTCTTCCTCTTCTTTTTCTTGGCTGATTTCTTTTTGTGGAATTTGGGTGACACTGAATGATCTATGGAAGACAAACAAAATAAAGAATAAAGTTTGACCACTTTTATCACAGTTCATAAAAAAAAAATACAAAATGTTAACAAACAATACGCAGCTGAATAATGCGTTAAGATCTAGAATGATAAGGGCAAAAATCTAAGGATTACATATTCATGGTTGAAACGATGTGCATGAAATCAGTCAACATTGAAATTATGTAGTATATCTCACATTTAGGCCTAAAAGACAATGAGCATAACGTTACTTTATTTTGGATTACTTGAACAAAATTATAAAAAAAAACTGTGCAGTACATGTACAAATGTAATATCAAAATTAAAACGACGTGCAGCTGTATCACGTGAGAAGATAACGGAGTTTTAAAATGGACGAGCTATAAAGACATGAAAGAACAGAAGAAATAATTGAGCTGTTCACAAAGGCAATTGTGATCACATGGATCAAAATCAGGGGATTATGAAGGGGAAAATGATGGGTCAGAAGATGGAAAAGTGACAAAAGGAAAATCACATGTTTAATTGGATAATAGTAGTGCTCATTTACCTGCAACATAACCTTGTATCGTCTCCTCAGACGACAAGCATTGTCGTCTCTCCGTATCACTGTGCCTGTTTCCTGGTAAACTTTCAAGTGCACTAAAAGCAGCTGGCGTTCCTCTATCATCAAGGCTCTGGTCCTTCCTTAAATCTTGACCTGAACGTTGGGTTTGGTCATCTGCCCTGTACAACAATGGTGTTCTTGAGCTGCTTGATTTAGAAGAGGTACTGTTCTGGTTGAGGTCTGGGTTGAAATAATCATACGTAGTGCTACTTCTTCTGGGGTTTTTATTAGGACTTGCTGCTTTTGTCTTTGCACTAAGCGAAAGTCTTTGAAGAGCTCGAAAGTTTGGAAATGTACTGTTCCGTGCAGTACAGTGCTGTGAAGACTTAACAGAGGTTTGCTGATTCTGCTTCTCAGTGATGTTCCTGACTTGAATGAGGAATGGGGAGTCGGAGGACGTGACTGACCGTGCACTTGGGCTGTTTGGTATCTCAGGTAGAGAACAGATCCGGCTCTGTGTTGGTGTGGAGACCACTGCATCTGGCCTTTGGTTGGTTGAGGCTGACATATCCACAGCTTGTCGGGATAGGGCAGCCATCGTTGAGGCAGAGATAAGCGGTGAGGGCGACACTGGTCCACTGACAATCGAGCTGGATGCACTGCCATAGCGCGATAGGCTCCCAGGGTCTCTCAATGGAACCGGATACACACAAACCCTGACAGACATCTTATCAGGGCTGACTCAATGTTGTCCAACAGGTGCCATCAAGTTGCTGTCAAGACAAAATGTACACAGCATAAATCTCATCATTTTAGCTCAATACAGTATGGAAAAAAAACTACGCTTGTGGGTTTAATTTTGAAAAATGCATGAACATTAACATGCCAGTTTAGTGTGAAATAAACAATGTTACCTACATTGCCATATTAATTCGCTTTGGCTTCAAATTGAAGTCACTTTGTTTCACCCTCAGGTGTAAAATATTAAAGAAAGTTTTCCTTTAAAAATGTAATTGTGACCTCAAACTTGGCTGGTGAAATACATGAGGAGGGCCTTGTCTTTTCCTTGATCATAAAACTTTTGGAGAATTTTGTCCATTAAAGAGTGAGTAGAGTGTGGGTTCGAGTCCTGGTCTCGACACTCGTACTGTGTCTTTAGGTTTAAGCAAGACAGGGCCGTAAAGCCGCTTGTCTTGTGCATTGTGTAATGCACGTAAAAGAACCCAGTACTGCCAAAATAAAAGAAGGGGTTTAATTGCCCCAGTGTTTCTGGCAGTGCGTTTATCTTTAACCAAGGCAGGGAACACTTGCAAGAAGAAGAAGAGTTGGCCTGATTTTGTTTTGTATTATTTTTTTTCTGCACTCTCTGCATGGCCATGGGCATGATGACATGGATGGATGATTGAACCAACGTACGTACGAACTACGACTAGTACGAGTATAGTTGAGACTTAATTTAAGTTATTAAATTTAAAAGGCAAATATATTCCAGTAAGTCTTACAATTCTACACGTTAGGTTGAACCACCGCCACGGACATTGGTGGCACTATTTTCATGCCAAAAATGACCTAATTTTTTGTGACCACCTTTTTTGAAAAGGTTTGACATGGAGTATACAATACAGGGATACTTTCGCTTAGCTCCAAACATCAATAAAAGAGAATTGCAGGGTGTAGGCCTAGTTGACCTTAGAAAGTTTGGTTTGTTATTAATCACATTGCCAAAAAAAGTTGTGGATTCCCCAAACAGCGACGTGGTTATTTGTGTGTGAATTTCCCATACCTTTGTACACATTTATATCAACTGACGAGTACTACTACTTTACTAGGCTACAGTCCTAGAAATGAGGCTAGTTCTAGTACTAGGAGTAACCGACGAGGTCACATTTATTTCAGCCAAATCGAGCATCAATTTATGTAGCTGGAGTTACCCAGCCCTGAGTTTTATCATTGGGTTGTCTATAAGGGCTGGAGCGAATTTTTCTCGTAACTTGTAGTATTTGCAAAAAAAATTGGAAAATGTTCAATTTTGTCCCCGTTACACACTAATTGCAACTGCAACTCACCCCAAACTTGCCTGGAATAACCATTACACAGGTCCTTGAAGTAAAAAACGATCCACGATGAAGATTCAGCCTACAATTGCAGTGAAAACAGGAGGAATAACCGCTAACCTGACAACCTTTCAGGCATGGCCAGGACTGCTATTGGTTTGTGCACAAAAAAAATTGTGTACAATGAATGGCGGTCGATTAACAGGCACAGAGAGCGATCGCTGTCAACTACTCGTTTTGCCGGCTGCGCTGGCGTTGGCGCGTGACGTCACGCGGAAGCGTAACACCCGATGACTGTTTCATGCACTATTGGTTGCGGTTCCAGTACCAAAGCTGTGATGCGAGTGGTAAACCTTATACTAGTGCATGAAACAGTCATCGGGTGTTACGCTTCCGCGTGACGTCACGCGCCAACGCCAGCGCAGCCGGCAAAAACGAGTAGTTGACAGCGATCGCTCTCTGTGCCTGTTAATCGACCGCCATTCATTGTACACAATTTTTTTTGTGCACAAACCAATAGCAGTCCTGGCCATGCCTGAAAGGTTGTCAGGTTAGCGGTTATTCCTCCTGTTTTCACGGGTCGCACTAAACAGCGTCAACACAGCGTCAACACATGACAGAAGCGTCAACACACCGTCAACACATCCAAAACACATTCTGAATTGACAAAAAGGGCATATAATTGTGAAACATACAATAAAAGAGAATTTCCATTGGATTGAGTTTCCATTTCGTTGTTAAAAATATCGTATTTTCACGCGAAAAAAATGACCTTAACTTGCACGGCCGTTGTCCGCCATCTTGACTTCGCACAAAGCTTGGACTACACCATTTCAAGTAGGGGTGTGTAGGTAATGACATTATCTTGTCATAAACAACAGAGGGCGCCTTGCTGCAGACTAGACAGAGGGATACCAGATCTGTGTGAGGACTAAGGATCGGAGGAGTGGTATATCATTATTTTGTGAGTTGTGTTTATGTTTTGGTCTTTGCAGATATTTTTAACACTGGCGACCCCGGCCGCGTCCCTCTCTGTTGGTTTATTGTACAACGCTATCACCCTTTAGAATAATGGTATGGTCCGCGCTGCCACTGAGGCAACATGGCGGGTGTTCGGCAGCCGATTTCGGAGCGGCACGGAGAGCCAATTTTCTTGAACTAAAAATCGCGATTTTCAGACGTTTAACCTATTGATTTTAAGCACAAATCTTGTTTCTGTCCATACTGTATGGGTTACATACTGCTTTTGTCAATTTTAATGCATTTTGGATGTGTTGACGCTGTGTTGACGCTGTGTTGACGCTTTGGAGTGTGTTGACGCTGTGTTGACGCTGTTTAGTATGACCGGTTTTCACTGCAATTGTAGGCTGAATCTTCATCGTGGATCGTTTTTTACTTCAAGGACCTGTGTAATGGTTATTCCAGGCAAGTTTGGGGTGAGTTGCAGTTGCAATTAGTGTGTAACGGGGACAAAATTGAACATTTTCCAAATTTTTTTGCAAATACTACAAGTTACGAGAAAAATTCGCTCCAGCCCTTATAGACAACCCAATGATAAAACTCAGGGCTGGGTAACTCCAGCTACAATTTATGCAAAAAAACAACTTTAAAATTGCAATAATGTCAGAACTGCTTGCCCTATGTCTGATGATTATGAAGTTAGTAGCCTAAACCATTTGTTTAATTGCATTTTGAAAATGAAAGCTCTCTCTTAGTTTAAGATAAAGCAGCTCTACAACTTAGTACAAGTATCGGTACAACTACAACTAAACTATCAAATCAACTTTGAAATTACCTATCTACATGATAATTATCGGATAGTATTTCCCTTACCGTGTCCATTTGTGGTAACCAAAAGCTGCATTAATAAGATATGACAGGTATCAAGGTGTAATGTATACAAAGCGATTTAGAAACCTAATCCATGACATAGATACGGAGGCATTCCGCCGACTAGCTAAACCCGATCGGCCGGTCGTGTGTCAACAATAGTGTTGTTGCTTAGAGACGGTCCTACAAAGGTCAAAGTTTACTTGCTCTCATTCAATAATAATCATGCAATTATAGAAAAGTCCTTTCTGTGCTATCATTAAAAGAGCGATTGATGATAAATAAAAATATATGTAACGCTTTTTACAAATTATAATACAGTAAAAACGTAAAACAAAATAATATCGTTTAAATCTTTAATTTTTGTAATATGATTGTGAGCACAAGGATGCGGAGCACGTGTGAACGCGATTGGTGGTCTGCGCGATTCTAGGATCGAACTGTATCATCACGCAATGCATTGTTCGCGCAAGCTCGGGCGATCGCGCGTGCGGGCATTGATGTGTATAGACGTGGAAGGGTAGAACTTACATAATTTTGCTGCGCAATACTTCCTGCCAAACGCTCCATGTATATATGTGCCCGCCCTGTTAGCCGCCGCTTTTTGAACCACATTGCAGACAATATATGCCTAAATACTCTTAATGAAAGGTTTAAAGAAAACACCATGTGCGAATAATTTCTCAACTAAGAGAATGCATGGTTCTGAAAAGAACCAGAGGTATAAACTCGACGTTCACCGGTCAGTATGCTAGCTCTGACCGTTTTCAGGAGAGTGCCTAAACTCCGAAGAAAGTAAAAACTTAATTAGCAAAAGCGAAATCGATGAAGTGTGAAGTTGCATCCTGTGTGGATGCCAATTAGCTGGGATCCTGGAGCAAGCTTGGTGCCCACTGAAGTGGAACACTATAAAGTGTCAGTAGAGGGAGGACCTAGGGTATAGGAGACCCATCAGTCTAAGGTGGAAGCTGAGGACCTAGGGTAGGAGACCCATCAGTCTGAAGGAGTGGGAGCAGAGGCCCAAAATATTATTTTAGCCGTTTCTCACAAAATAAGCTCCCAAAATATCAGATTTTTGGAGCTGGAAGGCAAAAATACCGGCTGTGCAACTTAAGAGCACCATTTTCGGATGTCCCGAGATACCCTACAACAAAAAAATAATATTAAGATTAATCAACACATATTGCGATAAAATGGCCCTATCCCAGAGTCGGAGTATTAAGTGGGTAACGGACCCTTGGAAAGTCCCGTCGGAACCGGCGTTTGGAAAACGGCCTGTATCGCAATACAGCGCAATCCTTTAATTGCGCAAGCAGAAGGCTAGCTGCTGTAGCTGTGCATGCGCATGTGTACACGTACATGTACGTACGTCACTACGTGTGAACATGTGAAATTTGGAGCCGAGTGAGCAAATATTGAAATAATATTTAATTTATAACGACGGACAGAAACAGAAACAAATTAGGGCCTACAGCTACACGGACCACATTTTTACAAACTTCAAAATGAGACCATTAACAGAAGACGAAACGAAACTTGTGTTTGAAAAGCTGTCCAAGTAGTGAGTAAAAGATTTATTATGCTCCTTTTTCATTTTAGGTGTCGGAAATATACGCCTCCAACATGTCCAACCTGCGTGCCCTGCACGTGGCACGTTTGCACGGAAATGGGTCAACTCGTACCCGAGTTAACTCGTACCCGAGTCAACTCGTACCCCAAAATTGACGCCCCAGTCAAGTCGTACCCGAGTTAGGTCGTACCCGAGTCAAGTCGTACCCCAGTCAACTCGTACCCGAGTCAAGTCGTACCCGAGTTGACTCGTACCCGAGTCAATTCGTACCCGCAGCTCAAAATAGTTGCCTATTTTCGAAAAGAAAATCAGTGAAACGAACGGAAGATCGGAGGGATATGGCCGGTTGTCCGTGCACGGTGACATCGTTTGTGCCGAGCCAGTGCGCGCACTCGCCGGTCAACGTGGTCGTACCGTGCACAGTGACATCGTTTTTGCCGGGCCTGTGCGCGCTCTCATCGGCCAACGTGGTCGTACCGTGCACGGTGATATCGTTTTTGCCGAGCCTGTGCGCTCACTCGCCGGTCAAAGTGATTGGGCGTGCACAGTGTTTTTGCCGTCGCGTAGTTAGTGTCGGAACCTTCGCCGTTTTTCAACGGCATTAGGCCTTGGTGTAAGTTGTAGTTGTACATATTTAATACGGGGCTAATTTTCATACTTCAAATAAATGTTCTACCCAAAGTAGCATGCTTTTATCACTTTATTTTATTTTTCGGAAAAATTTCCATACTCGGACGTCACTTTTTTCAATTAATTTTCTAGCGCCAAAAGTTACATCTTTTATGGTTATTCCTCCACTTTCCCTCCTCTACTCTCACCCTCTCCTTTCCTTAATTTCTATTTATTAATCAGTCACTTACTTCATCGGGATTCGAACCTCTGACGCTTGCTTGATACACGAGACTCTTAACCGCTAGGCCGCGCACGATCGCTGTTGCAATCATCAATCTTTGGACGCATTTGAAGTATCCATTGAAATAAACTAAATATTCATGAGAAAATAAATATTCATAATGACGTATTGCACTATCATTGGCAGGCTCATGCGACGTCATGGTTGTTGATGTCACGTGTATAACGTTCCGCTGTCTTTTCAGCCACTACAATCAGTTTTGACCGGCTGCTTCAAGTTAGTTCTGCACGACGTATGCATCCAAAATGTGCTCTAAAAACACATTTTGAGTACATTTTTTTCACCTTTACACAGCTTCCTGGATTTCTTTTGGTTCAAATGACAAGGTGAGGTGACAATAAATATGTTTGGCAGCAGATAAATTGACATCCGAGTATGGAACTTTTCCCTATTTTTCTATTACAGATGATCCTGTGGTTTTCCGATGAACCATTTTCTGCTGCTCAAACCGATCGATCGGATTGTCTGTCACACAGTTCATGATGAATCAAATCGGATGTCAAGTTTTGAGGACGAAACCCGATTAGCTCAGTTTTGTTTAAGATAAAACTTTCTCTTGCACTTGGATTACAATTTGCTAATGTCAAACAATCTTTCACACCCAAGGATCAGCTAACAAGTTGGTCCCCTAAAACTTATAGAAAGAGCGTCTCTGAATGAAACGAGCCCCCATTTTCCTTTATCGTTTTTACTATAATTCCTTGATGCCTCAAATGTAAACAAATAATTAAAAATCCTGCATTTCTGTTACCAAAATAATATTCTAGTTGAACTTATCGCAGAAACTTTATTTGAGCTGCACAATATTTTTTTTACGACATTTTCCGAACCAATTGTACAAAAAATGACCAACATATTAAAGAATCATTATAAATTAAATAACGATGTCAGTGTGACTCTTTTAAGTTTCCTGTAATATATTTTCTCTTCAGATTTGTACTTTCAGGGCCCCCAATCTTCCCAAAGAGATTCGTGCCATGTGCAGTTATTATTCAATAAATGATGCCAAAAATGGAGTGAGTGAACGTTGAAAAATATTACTTTTACATTACAAAATTCATTTTTTAATAGCGACTTTCTTTAAAAAAAAATACTACATTCGTAAAAAGAAAACTACGCCCTTAAAACACGTTCGACTGAACAAAACGAACAAAAAAAAGTCGTAGAAGTTCGCACAGTCACTCCGCAATCTCAGTGATCCAGGGTCTCTGAAAAAAAAGAAAAAAATTACATCATTAGTATTACTAAGAGAAAATACTACACAAATGTTAAAATAACACATCTGATGATCTGGATGAAAAGTGAAATTTACCGTTTATCAGCGAGGGCTCCGTCGACTCGCGAGTACCACACTGATGCCGTTTTGAAAATGTTTTCCACGCCGTACCCGTCGCGATGAAGCCCTTGCCGATGAACGGTACATTTCCCCTTTTCACCCAGATTGTGAGCAACATTTGATACCACCGCCTTCAACAAATCCTTGAACTTTATTTGTATTTCTGGCGGCGTAACTACTATTTCTCAGTCGCCGTTTTTGAGGGTAAAATCGGACGTTTTTGTTAACCATCCATCCGTACTTCCAAACTAAAACAGGAGGGGAGTACGAGTTGACCTGGGTGCGAGTTGACCCGGGTACGAGTTGACTCGGGTACGAGTTAACCTGGGTACGAGTTAACTCGGGTACGAGTTAACTTAGGTACGAGTTGACTCGGGTACGAGTTGACTCGAGTACGAGTTGACCCAAAATCGTTTGCACTCGGTGTAGCCCGACTGCATTTAGCCGTACAGTACTATCGCAAGCGTCTGCTTGCTTGCGATAGTACTTGTACGGCCAGATCTAGTCCGAAATTTGGGACTCTCAATACTGTGTATGAGAGTCCCAAAACTTAAGGTATCCATATTGTGCAAAAGTTTGTGCTGCATAATAAAACCAGTGTGAATCAAATGTGCAAGCTTCTTACTCACTACAGTTTCTTCAACGAAGTGGCTATCGTTACGGCACTAGTTGTTTAGCGCCCTCTACGATATTTGTTTGATACGCACGCAGGTATATAATTATTTGTTTCCCCACGTTTTTTCGAGCAGTGCGCCAGCTCAGCCGATAGAGGGTAGGATTTTGCACCGCGAGGTTACGGGTTCGAATCTCAGTTTTGCACTCGAATTTTTTTCCTTTTCTAATATGAGGCTTTGGAGGATTTTTTTTAAAAGGGAAATAAAGTCCGAATTTCATAAAGTTCAAATTCACTTTTTTCCTTCTAATTTTATATTTTCTTGTCATGTTTTTTTTATAAAAGTTGCCAGGTTGCAGTCTACCGTAACGATAGAAAATGGGAAATGCGTTCCGGCTGCCGTAACAATAGCCACTGCGTTTCTTCAAATTAAAAATCCCCGAAACTTCTGCCCTGCAAAGTTGCTGTTGTGAGCATTGCATCACCAAAAATTCAACGTTTAATTCTAATTTTGCAGGGAGTTATCGAAATCCAAACGCGAAACATCACGTTAGTGTGTACTGCAATGCATTGTGCAAAAAGACTCCTCAGCTAAAACATTTTCATCGTGTAGGTAAAACAGCGCCCTCTTGTTGATCTGAGTGAATGCAGAATGATTCATTTTTTAACAGAGGGCGCTATGTTCATTTGGCCACCGATTAAAAAACAAGTAAGCTGCAAGGCTTTTCCTACACCTACCCAGAATACCTTGGGAATCACACCACCATTTCTAAAGCATGGAGAATGACGTGGGTGGTTTTTGAACTGTCAAAAACTTGCCTTAAAATTGGATTTAAGGTCTCAAATTTTGCAGGTGACATGCTTGCAATTTAAGCATTTTGATGTATGTGTTGTGTGGGCATTAATTAGCCGAATGGTGAGTAAAAAAACGTCAGTAGTAATTTTGCACATTTTTATGCACTCACGGTCCGGGTCTGGGCCAGACATGCCAGATCATGCAGTCGGGCTACACTCGTACTCAGTGGCACTCCTACTGCCCATCGAAACAGGACAACTCGTACCCGAGACAACTCGTACCCGAGACAACTCGTACCCGAGACAACTCGTACCCACCGATTACTAGTGCATACACAGAGCACAGAGCATGGTGCATGGTACGGCTACGTTGATACAGCGTGATTTTCCGACACATTTTTGTTATGTCGCGGCAGTACCGCGCACTGTGACATCGTTTTTGCCTATGAGCCCACGTGCCAGTCGACGTGCCGTGCCCGGCCCTATACCGTGCACGGTGACATCGTTTCTGCCAGGCCTGTGCGCGCCATTGCCGGTCAGCGTGGCGTACCGTGCACGGGGACAATACTGACATCGGACCACGTTTTGCTGGTGCACAAGTACCATTTTCAACGGCATTATGCCTACTTGCGACATGCACAGTGAGCAAAAAAAAAAGGGTTTTAAAAGAAAATAAAGTAAAACTTTCAAAATACTTTTAAAATGATCACTAAAACGTCTTGGCAGCAATAACAAAACATAGAGTGCCAATTCACTCGTCTTCAATCGATGCCAACTAGTCTTCAATTGATGCCAGTAACTTTCGCTCTGAAACTGAATCATCTTGCACAGTCAATCTCCTTGGTTCGTGGTCCTTGCCAAATTCAGAACCTAAAAAGAAAAGAAAGCAATATATAAATATATTTGATAAATAATAATAAATTATCTTACTTATCAAACGGTGAATATCAAACAAGGAATGTACAAGTAATGCCATTAAAACAGAATGGCATTGCCGCGCGCGCTGTTTCACCGGCACCACGACCGACCGCGGTCGACCGCTGCTTGCCGGCCCGGCAGCGAATTTCATTGCCCAGACGGCAGGGCCAACGCGGAAAATCACGCTTACCGGGCAAAGCCCATTGTATGTGGTTCTGTGGGGATAGAAATTAACTTTGACTTGGAAAGCATCGTATCATCGTATCGTTTCAGAGCCGGGTACGAGTTGTCTCGGGTACGAGTTGTCTCGGGTACGAGTTGTCTCGGGTACGACTTGTCTCGGGTACGGGTTGTCTCGGGTACGAGTTGACTCGGGCACGACTTGTCTCGGGTACGACTTGTCTCGGGTACGAGTTGACTTGCATTCCTGCCCATAAATGTGGCCAATTTACTGGACTTCCTCCGTAAACAAAGGCCACACTTCCACCATGTACAAAAACATGTCGAACTTTGTCAAATTTTGATGTTCACATTTAGCTAAATGTGAACATCAAAATTTGACAAAGTTCGACATGTTTTTGCTGTACATACCCACATGGAGTACCCACATGGAGCCACATGGTGGAGGTGTGGCCTTTATTTACAGAGGTAGTCCAGTAAATTGGCCACATCCATGGGGCTATATGGAGAGCCAAGAAAAGTATTTCCTAACAAAATTGGAAATATTTCTCAGTCCCAGATTCATGTATGTAGAAGAGTAGCATATGCACACTACAATCAAATCACGCAACCCAAGGTTTTAGTCGAGTTGTACATACAGCGGACGAGTTGGCAAATGGTCGAATTGGCAAACGGTCGAGTCGGCAAACGGTCGAGTTTTGCAAACGGTTGAGTTGGCAAACGATCAACATGATCAAGTTGACTCGAAAGTTAAGTCGAGTTGGTCAACGGACGAGTTTGTTCAATGGTTGAGTTGGTTCAACGGTCGAGTTGGTACGATGGTCGAAATGGTAAACTGTCAAGTTGGTTCGAGTGGAGTTGGAAAACGATCGAGTTGACTGCAATCCGTAAGGTTTTTACGAACCTGACCACTGCCTGAATCCTGCAAATTCTTGCGGCAGTGACTGTTAATATGTTGAGGCCTGGCCAGTGACATCCTGGAGCTGTTACTGTTAGGATTTCAAGCATAATACAGGCCTATATTTATGCATGGCTGAGCAAAAACAAGACAAGGTCTGGCCCAAGACCTTGACAAAGTGCATCCTACGAAATTAGTAATGCACTTTTGCCAAGTAACCTCAATCTTCCAAATTTCTCCACTTTAGCAAAGAAGATTTTTTAAGGATTTGGGGCAGTTAGGGAGAGTGCCTTGTTATCAGAGCTACATGGACGCAATAGTCAGGTTTCATCCATATGCATATGGGCGTCACGAAACACACTTTGCCGATGTTCAGGGCACCAAACATGAACTGGCAAAGTTAGCCCAATGGTGGTACTGTACATCTTGCATAATAATTATCACATGAAAGATGTGGAGGTTCGTTGAAATCAGTCTACACTAGGGAGCGTATGAAATAAGGCAAAAGGCGTGTAAGATTTCTTCATATTTGTGTACATTTATTGCTCAAATACTTAACATGGCCTATGCAAAACTACTACATGTATGATGTTTTTAGTTCTTAGTTGGGATTTTCAAAGTGAATATTTAAAAATAACACCAAATGAAAGACCTGTGTTAAACATAACACCAAATGAAAGACCTGTGCAGTAGCTAGGGTCAGTGTTACTTGAACTAGATGGTATGGTTTTTGTATGTTCTTGTTTTAGTATTGGGGAGAACATCCGACTACTGATTGACAGACCGGATGGTGCATACTGCTTCAGATTACATAGAGAACGAATCTACTATGTCAGGTTTGTTTATTTCCACTCCTCCTTTTCGTTCATTCAGTTGTAATCAGTACCCTTTCCCAAACCCCTCCCCAGCCACACGTCCCCTCCCCTGCTCCTCATTTAGCCCACACCCCTCCCCTATGCTATAGGAGCATGCGTAGCACCTGCCACAACCGTACTGCTGAGAAGTCGCCTTCGCTTAATTGGTCATGCACTGCGAAGACCTCAGGTGCCTCTCGCTGCCTCCTGGACCCCAAAAACCAACCATCAGAGCCCTCTCAACAGGAAAGAGGCCTGCGTCACACCTACTTCTCACAGATCATAGATGACACCATCAGCCTCAAGCATGATCAGGCTGTTTTTGCTACCCAGGATCGGTCAGGGTGGCTGAGACGAATCGCAAGCATTGGAAAAACCCATTAGTCACAACAGTAGCGTCAACTAGTAGTACACTATGGGCTCCGTGCGCCAACAAAAGAGGGCGTGCTTTTACATGTACCTCTTTTGAGAGCTCCGTGGATGGGACACACAGCGTGTGCGTACTGTACTGTATGTACTGGTTTGCGCGCAAAGTACGCACGACTTCCTGAATGTGCAAAAGCTATAGCCACCGCGTCTTCCCGAGAGCGTCAGGCGTCTAATGCCCGCCTCCCATAACTCAGTGGATGGCTCGGGAACCAGTCTGGGTCACCCCAACTTTCCTTTTCTGGCCGTTGATTGGGTACTTGTGCACGGAGCCCATAGGGGCCAGGTCTACGGATGCCACAACATTCACCATCAAATTTCCTTTCGGAATACTGAATTATTTCTAATTTTCAATTTTCTTTCTTTCTTCCATGTCTCTGCAGCCAAGATATCATGAAGCGAGCAGCCAGCGTGAGTAGAAAGCAGCTAGTCAGCATGGGCACCTGTTTTGGAAAGCTTACAAAGTCGATGAAATTTCACCTCAACATTACAGCATTGGATTTCCTGGCTCCCTATGCAAAGGTATGTGGGTCGTTCTATAAATTTGGGGTCCACTTTTTTCCCCGTCCCTGTTACATCTGACATCTATGATTGTATAATTCTGATGCACTCCTTAATGCAGTCATCCTCCAAGAGTGCTTATGAATAGCAAACTACCTACACAACAAATAAACAATCATTTGAAGTCACTTTTAATGATGCTTGAATGGCAAATTACAAAGGTAACAGGGACGGGAAAAATGTCACACTTTGGACCCCAAATTTATAGAATGACCCATGTGCATGATATTTTGAGAAGAGTATCATACCCAACTGAACCCAAACTCCAAAACTTATATTACATATTTAAAAGAATATGTAGCACCAAAAATAATGACTGGAAAGCCAATTTCATAAGGTACATTTAAATGGAAAAAAAAATGACTGAAATTGGTCAATCCGTTAAAAAAATATCACCATTTAAACACAATGACCCTCAAACCTATCTCATCCAAAAGAATGCGATTTCAAGAATCGTTGTCGCAATGTTTTCCAAACATCACCAGCGATTTCAACAGTTTAAGGCCAAAAAAAAAAAATAGTCGGTCTCTGGTCAGACTGAAGTTCCGGAATTGATGCGGCGACGTGTTTTTTTTTTTTTTTTTTAGTGGCTTTTTTTTTTTCAAGCTTGTATTGTACAGACAAGGTGGGTACTATTTTGCTTGTTTGTGTCCTCATCATACATTGGTGTCCTCCATCATTTGCCTTGGTGCCCTTTATCATTTGCCTTGGTGCAATTTCCCCATTCCTTGGTGCTCCTTGGTACAAAAATTTGAGGAGGCACGGCAATAGAGGGCGCTGTTGTAGCTTCCATGTTAATTTGAAGAAAAAAAAAAGGGTTGACGCGCATGATTAAAATTGACGCTCGCGCTGACCAGAGACCGAGTATTTTTTTTTTGGCCTAAACGTTAAAAGTATTCAACAGAATCCCTTTGAAGGCCCATCCTTTAAAAAAAAGTAGATTTTATAAATCATATTGTTTGCCTAATCAAGGTTGTTTATTGTGTACTACTGTTGGTGACAGGTGTTGAAACAAGTATTCTGTGTCATTTTGTTTGTTGTTCCAAACAGTCAAAACGCACAATAAATTCCTTTTTTTTTTTCGGATGAGACAAGTTTCAGGGTCATTGCGTTTAAATGGTGATGTTCTTTGAACGGATTGAGCAATTTCAGTAATTTTTTCATCCAAAAGTAGCTTATGAAATTGGCTCTCCAGTCATTATTAATTTGGTGCTAACTTTACATATTTTTTAAATATGAAATATAGGCCTATTTGATGGGGTTTGGGTTCCGCTTCTTTTTACTCACCCTGTACATGTAGCTCATGCTGCTGCATGTATATCTTGAATCACTTTTTTTCTGCTATTCAAGCCCCATAAACTTTGGATGAATGCTCCGTGTACATGGCCACTGTACATTTTTATTCAGGAATATGCGTCATGGATTTTCATTTGCAGAGAGTGAAATTATACACAAATGTGATTGGATAAAATGAAATCACACGATAAATTCTGAGGCATTATGCAAGTGCTATATGTGCACTAACATTCAACTTGACTTAGCACATCTGTTACGATCAGACAAAGTTGGATAATATCTCCTACTGTAATTTCACTCTTTGCTAAATTAATTAATGTGCAGTTTGGGAAACCAAAGCCTTGAAACACCTCATGGACATAACTTTTCAATGTATTTACCCTCCTAGTCTTCTGCGCTTCACATTTCACAACCCTGCAAGTTTTGCAAAGCCACTTTTGCCAATAGAGTTAGGCCTGTTCTAGACGCTATGCTACTGCCACACCACACTTAATTGAAATTAGTCTGGCAATAGCTTGTCTGCAGCACTGCAGTTGCTTTAAACGTCGAACTTAAATGTTGTGCTAAACGTCAAACCTTAACCCTAACTCCCCAGCCTTATTTACAACGAACCATACCCATTCTGGAAAATTCCAACACCCACATGGGAAATTGTACACACACACTGCTGGACTTAGTTTCTGGAGGTATGCCAACCTCAGTGTAAAAGACCATCAGTTTAGGGGTACTTTACCTATCCCAACAGATTTGAACAAAACCTGCTGTTGAACTTTGATGGGTTGAGTTCGGTTAGGGTTCTTGCATCTGGAAATAAACTGGCCAGGTTAAAGCAGTTCATATAAAAGTTTCAGCGCGGTCAAAATGTTCTGCCAATTTCACTTTCCGTGGTGTGAACACAAGAGAGGGTATTGTGAGCATGTGCATTTCTAAACTTTTTGCCCCAACTTTGTATTGAGTTGAGTTTGGCATGGCAATGGTGTACATGTAGCATTCAGAACAGTGCCACTGCCGTCCGGAATGATGATCGCGCGGCAGCCCTGTCAAGCAAAAGGATGGTGCCATGCAGAACTCAACTTGTCTAGCCAAATGGTTCTAAATGGCGCGCTATCAGCACGCCGTATCAAAAAAAGTCAAATTAATTGATTTTGTCACGGCAGTAGCACAGCGTGTAGAACAGGCTGTAGTGACCACATTTCAAATTCATTTGAGGTAATCTGTGGGGAATGGATAATCCTGCACAATTCTTTTATGTGGCTAAGCTCAGGGCAAGCAGGCAGATTCAGTCGCGCTTTGCCCGGTCCGCCGCTCTCCACAGTGCTGTTTTTGTGCAGTGACACTGTGTAAAACAGGTACACACTTCATAACCCTTCACTCAAAACTGACCTGCAGGGTTTAAAGGGAATGTACAACATTTGCTGCAATTTTCAGAAATAAATGGATTTGGAGGATTGGAATGGTATAGCAAATATTGTTAAATGACTTGTTTCACGTTTTCGGCTTGTGGATGCTGGAAATACCAAGAAAACCAATCATGTTTTTGTAGTCTGGTTCCCTGACCCAACTTAAGATGAAACGGAGCAATTTGTAGACTTTGGGGAATTATATTAGGTCAGAGAATCAGTCTAGCAGGCTTGTACCTCTTCACAGGTGTGTAATCAATTGCAAAGGAAATGTGGAATAACTAATTATGAAAAATTAGGAGCAGTTTTTGAAAATGAGCCAGTTTTCTCCAACGCTGGTCGGCCGACCAGCGTTGGAAAAATACAATTTTTCTTGAAAATGTCAGCACACCAGGAGCCACGATTTTACAGACTGTCATTCCCTAACAATCCAGTAAGGTATTTCGTGATAATTTGATCATTTCGTTTTTTTGATGCTTTCAAATGTTGTATCTTCTTTAACCCTAACCCCCTAGGCCCTTGTTGCTTACAACCATCCTCAATCCTCCAAAATCCTCCAAAATTTTCCAAAATTTTGCAACTCCGCCTAAATTTTTCAAAATTGTCAGACAGTCCTGCCTCAAAATGCATTCATCCTCAATCCTCCAAAATCCTCCTCATCCCAAAACGTTGCACTCGTGTTTAAATGAAGGATAACCAACGCCAAATCCTTCAAAATCATCAGACAGTCCTGCCTCAAAATGCATTCATCCTCAATCCTCCAAAATTCTCTTGTGCTTCAATCACCATTCATCCTCAATCCTCCAAAATCCTCATGTGCTTCAATCACCATTCATCCTCAATCCTCCAGAATCCTCATTTGATTCAATCACCATTCATCCTCAATCCTCTAGAATCCTCCAAAACCGCCAGGAGGATTTTGGAGGAGTGAGGTGGGTTAGGGTTAAGGGTTTTACATATTGCGGTGAATATGAACTTCACACTAGGCATGCTAGGAAGAATAACAGCTGAACTGTGATAATAATTTGTGTGCTGTGATGGTTATTTCTCTCTGCAGTACAAGGTGTGGGTGAAGCCAGGCTCTGAGCAGTCCTTCTTGTACGGTAATCACATCTTGAAGTCTGGCTTGGGTCGTATCACAGAGAATGCAGGCCGGTATCAGGGAGTGGTCATCTACTCTATGAGTGACATCCCACTGGTAAGAACTAGACTCTGTGTATGATAGACTTCATGCATAATACACCATTGCTCAATGTCTTTTTTGAATTATTGCCCCAAATTTACCATTATGTAGTGAGTCTGAATTTTGTTTGCTATTAAATACACAGCCATGCATGGGTACAAGCGAGCTAGATTGGTTCCCTGACCTTAAAATTCCCCAACGTCTATAAATTGCTCCATTTCAATATAAGTTTGGTCAGGGAACCAGATTACAGATTGTTTTTCTTGGTTTTTACAGCGTCTACGAACACAGTACTTCAAGCAAGTCAGTGTAACAATTTTGGCTATAAAAACCAAACCCCAAATCCATCCATTTCTCACAACTACAGCAAAAACACATATTGTTTATTCCCTTCAATAACTCCCTAGGCCTTTTTGCTAGGATGTAGCCTCAATCCTGCAAAATCCTCCAATTGAAAAAATAGGGTAAAGCCTGAATCCTGCAACATCCTGTGGCAGTGACTGTTAATATGTTGAGGCTTGGCCAGTGACATTCTGGAGTACAATGTAGTACAGAGGAATTCAAGCCTAATCCACGCCTATATTTATGCATGGCTGAGCAAAAATAAAACAAGGTCTGGCCCAAGACCTTGACAAAGTGTATCCTATGAAATCAGTATCGCACATTTGTCATGTGACCTCAATCCTCCAAATACCTCCACTTTGGCAAAGAGGATTTTGAAGGATTCAGGACGGTTAGGGTTAAATACACATTATTGTTATTTTCTTAATACTTTACACATACCCAATTTTGGTAGGTCAGTTTTAGGTTTAAATGCAGGTGATCCTTTGATCAACTTACTTCACCTATTGCATTCCCTATCTCGTATATTTCAAGTGATGTGGCATTCTTCTGTTTTCCTACAGGGCTTTGGTGTAGCAGCCAAGTCAACCCAGGAGTGTAGGCACGCAGACCCCATGACGATAGTTGTCTTCCACCAAGTGGACATTGGACAGTACCTCAGGAATGAAGATACTTTGCTCTGAATACTGCTGCATCCTGCACAGAGACAATTAAAACTTTAAGACAGAAACCTGAGTCAGTAGGTTTGGCTGCATAATAATACCGGAGTCTTATATAGCGCACATACATGTATCTACCAATAATTAGGTACTCAAGCCACTGGAAATTATGTCTATTATTAAAGAAAGGTAAATGCATGTAAAGTTTATGAGAAATATGAGACCCATTATGTAGCACCTTATAATGGTTTTACAAGGTGCTGTGGCGCATATTGTAGCCACTGCCAGAAACACTGGGGCAAACCCCTTCTCTTAGCGATAAGTGTTACTGGGTTCTTTAACGTGCATTACACAACACACGGGACCTACGACTTTACGTCCCATCGGAAGGACGAAGCAACAATGGTAAAGTGCCTTGCTCAAGAGCACAAGCACCATGTTCCCACGGTCAGGATTGGAACCCATGTACCATGGCACAGGAGTCGAACACCGCAACCATTGGACCAAAGCACCCCACGTGGCTGCATGGGCGGATCCAGAAGGCAGACTGGAGCAGTGCTGCAAGTTTAGCCAATAACAAGACAATTTTCAAAAAGGAGGCAGGGGGTGCGACCGTGTCATCTTGGGTAGAGTGGTCACTGTGGAGTAGGCCGTGTCCGAATCTCTTGTGTAGAGCTACAGTGGAACGCCGCTGTAACAAATATCGAGGGATCCACATAAATAATTATCATAACAGCAATCGTTTGGGGTAGCCATTTTAAGCTGCTGGTGCTCCAGTTCTCACTTTTCAATAAATAGCACCCTTCAGAACTTCACCCAGCATGCCCTGGTAGTTACTGAAAGATGACTTTGAACACGTGCCGACCATTGAATCGTGCAAGTACAGAATTTGTGAGCTTACTACCCACACTACTGCCCTTCTATTCCTTGGGGAAATAGCAGCCGCTAGTCACTCCTCTGTTGACATTTTTCAACAACAATGTTCAGTACGTTTTGTACACAAAAATCGGGAGCCGAGGATGATGTTCGGTATAGCCGAATGTTCCGTATAGCGATGTTCCACTCTATTGTCTAAGTTTTCTCTTTTCATAATGTGTCATCAAATCATTAAAGTTATAAATGGACACCATTTTCGAAAACGTGTTTTTGCCGATTCATAATCAAGGAACAATACAACCGATCTGAAGCTCAGTAGATATACTTTTTGATAATATGAAATTTTGTTCTCGACGTAAAGCAAGGTTTCCGTTGAAAGCGACCAATCCAACCCACCCCCGGTGCGAAACGTTATTTAATTTACATGTTTGATTGCACTCTCTAATGGAATGATCCCAATAAATATATCTAACTAAACTAAATTCACTCAGTTGGGAGCAATATTTGAAAAACACCTGGCGATGGTTTGGTCCTTACCATCGCGAGGAAATCATTAAACAGTCGACTCCCGTTATAACAAACTCGTTCGCAAATTGTTTGTTACATGTATATCAGAATTTTGTATTAAGAGGAACATCAGTCCCATTCATGGTGCACATCAATGCACAGTCGGGACCAAGGCTTTATGTTTGTTAGAACCAGAATTTTGTATTAACAGAGTTTGTACTAACGAGAGTCGACTGTAATTCCTCTTTGCGTGAAACTAATGACACCATGCTAGTTGGCGGGTGCATCGATTTTAGTTGGCCCGGATGCCTGATCCTTTATTTACTTCATACTTTGGCAGTTTCGTTTTGAATGTTACAAATTTGTCCATTACCTTTAAATCAGTTTCAGTAAAACAGTCTTTCACCAGTTCAGCCCCCCAAAAATTACATTTGACTTGCTATATACATGTACATGTACATGTATTGGAATCCCTGAAACACAATTGTCACAGTCTTCGGTTATGATCAAGGCTGATGTCGATGAGAACAGGTCGATAGTTTTCTAGATACGGTGGAGACATTGTTACAATGTATATGTTTAGAAATGTTCTTAAGCATCGATTGTATGGGGCCGTATCATAGTGTCCGACGCCTCATAGGTCCTACTCCTCATCAGTCCGAAATTTTGGACTAATATGAGGAATAAATCCGCCTCATAGGTCCGACGCCTCATAAGTCTGCCAATGGACAAACACTGTTTCGGACTTATGTGGCGTCGGAGCTATATGAGGCGTCAGACTTATGAAATGTTGGACCTATGAGGCGGAATAAATAAATACGATGCCTCATACGTCCGCACCTCATACGTCCGACGCCTCATAGGTCCCACTCCTCATAGGTCCGAAATGTCGGACATATGAGACGTCGGACTTACGAGCGGACCCCGATTGTTTTTGAGTGTTTATACACGTATATTTAAACATTATGTATGTACATGTTCTCCTGCAAAGATGTGCGTGCATTGAATCCACTAACACGAGTAGTGCACACGCAAGAGGAATGCTCCTTTAATACGTTAAAAGTTAATAAGAAGTCGCCATTGCGCCCGCATGCCTATATTCAGCTTCCTTTAGGTTAAAGTTTACAAAAGTATCATACATGCAGTAAGTTTTGTTCCAGCGAATCTGGTAACATAATTGCATTTCAAAAATGCTGAAGGGGGGGGGGGGGGGGGGGGTCGAACCATACTTTCAGTGGGGGCGCTGTTCAAATCCGACGATTATTATAACTATACAGAATAAATGTAAAAACAAACACATAAGCCTAACCAAGCTGGCTCTGTCCGTATTTTGTGCACATGCCCAGTATAATTTTTTTGGGGTGTCAGAGCAGGGGGTGGGTCGGATAATATATATATATTTTTTTTATTCTAAAAAAAAACAAAACAATTGACAGAGCTGGGGAAAAGAAAAAACTATAAAAAACAACAAAAAATAGTTCTCTAAAAAAAAAACAATTGACAGAGCTGGGGAAGGGGGTTTCCGCGCCCGAGACGTGGAAAAGATTACTAACTTGGGAAAAGTCGCAAAAAGGGAGATTGAAACGCAAGCATTTTGCACAAATTGTATCAGCGAACATTCAAATAGGGTGGGAAGTACAATGTACATAAATTGGTCTGAGTGAATTATTATAAGTATTTTTTTCTGTAGATTTTCTGTTGCCATAATCAGAAGTTTTGCAATACTAAAAACTGACACTGCAGATGTTATAATTATTGTTATGTACCCGCTTCATCTGTGCCCTCTACCTGGGGGTGTTGTTCTTCTGATCCCACCTTTTTAATTTGTTGACTTCTCCGAAAAAAAGCCTTTTCGGAGTTCCAACTGCGCGCATTCGTAACCTGTGACAACGAACATTGTTTGTCTCAAATGCCCTTTGACAGTACCCACAAAGCACAAACAGCCTTTTTGTAAAGTCAGTGGCACGATGTTGTCGAAGGCCATTTGAGACAAACAATGCGCGTTGTCACAGGTTACGAATGCGCAGTTGGAACTCCGAAAAGGTTTATTATACCTCATTTTCTTGGAGGGGGAGGTCAAGGCCGGATCAAGACGCAGTTTTTTTTTTTTTGGGGGGGGGGAACAAATTATTTCAAGTGGGTCCAAACTTGTCCGCCCCAAATTAAATATAAAAGAGCAAGGGGATGGGGGTGCCAGTATTGTTCTAATCGAGTTTTGTGGGTTGTGTACGCAATGGCTGCCTTTTTTTGCGACGTTACTAAAAAAAAAGGGAGGGGCATGGCCCCCGTTCGCCCCCCCCCCCCCCATCCGCCGTAGGGGGAGGTCAGTGTGTGGGGGCTAACCACTTTGCCACGATTTGTCATCCGTTATTCTCAAAACCAACAGAAATTTCATATTTCGAATTCATTGGTTTTATTTATTTTGCTTATTTTGTGTTGTGGACTGTGGAATCAATTATTTTAAAATATTTCTGTAGCTGTCAGACGTCGTTTAGTTGGACCTGTGTGACCAACATGCCCGGGCTGCATTTAAATTATCATAAGAATATACATGTGAAACAAAAATCGATTTGTCTATGGACAGATCGGACACCCCGGGAATGGGAGGGGGTCTTGTGGGGCAACAGGGAGGATCATGGAGGGGGGGGGGGGGGGTCATATTCTGGCCCCCAGAACAAAAATCAATAAATTATCCCAGTGCGTATATAGCCTATATTTCAATAGCCTTTATTTCAACAAAACATAGGCCTACACGTACTGCACAAAAAAAATGTACTTTACTTTCCCTTAAATGGTGTTCTCGTAACATTTCCGCCCATTTGCGTACACATCACTACACAAAATGCCAAGTGACTATAACATTACTGCACATACTTTGCCTCCATATCATACATAACTTAAGGAATCGTCACCAGCAACGTTTGTGAAGTATAGGCCTACATGTAATACAATCATTGTGTAGCGATATTACATCATCGGTGTATGAACGCGTATTTAGCTGTATTGACACTGTGGATTGAAATCTGTATTGTTGTCGAGTGCACAATGGGCAGGTTACTAGCGATAAGGGTTACCTCGAACTGGGGTCATCTCTATATTAACTATGTATGTGGACTACGGGCGATGCATTCCCTTATTTGGAAGTGTAGCTGGGTACCGGCAGGCGGCAGTTGCAGTAGCTATTATGTGCCCAGTTGACTCATATTCGTAAAGCTCAACCACCTGATGTATAAGACAATCCCTTATTTGGACTTCGATACCTGCTTGTACGCGCGCTACAGCTAATATCTATGGATGAGGCCTAGAGCAATAAAAGACCAGAATAAGCTTGCTCGCTTACTAGTTTTTCATGGTACGTGCTGTCTACATCGTGCCATACTTTCAGTGGGGGCGCTGTTCAAATCCGACGATTATTATAACTATTACAGAATAAATGTAAAAAAAAAACCCATAGGCCTAACCAAGCTGGCTCTGTCCGTATTTTGTGCACAGGCGGACCTTATTACCAGGATAATTTTTGGGGGTGTCGGAGCAGGGGGAGGGTCGGATTATTTAATAAAAAAATAAAAATTCTATAAAAAAAACAACAAAAAATAGTTCTCTAAAAAAAAACCCCAATTGACAGAGCTGGGGAAAGGGGGCTTCCGTGCCTGAGACGTGGAAAAGATTACTAACTTGGGAAAAGTCGCAAGAAGGGAGACTGAAACCAAGCATTTTGCACAAATGGTATCAGCAAACATTCAAATAGGGTGGGAAGTACAATGGTCTGAGTGAATTATTATTAGTATTTTTTTCTGTAGATTTTCTGTTACCATAATCAGAAGTTTTGCAATACTAAAAACTGACACTGCAGATGTTATAATTATTGTTATGTATACCCGCTTCATCTGTGCCCTCTACCTGGGGGTGTTGTTCTTCTGATCCCACATTTTTAATTTGCTGACTTCTCCGAAATTATACCTCATTTTCTTGGAGGGGGAGGTCAAGGCCGGATAAAGAACACAGTTGGTTTTTTTGTGGGGGGGGGGGGGGGATTAGTTCAAGTGGGCCCAAACTTTTCCGCCCCAAATTAAATATAAACGAGCAAAGGGATGGGGGTGCCAATATTGTTCTGATCGAGTTTTGTGGGTTGTGTACGCAATGGCTGCCTTTTTTTGCGACGTAGTACTAAAAAAGAGAGGGGCATGGCTCCCGTTCGCCCCCCCCCCCCCCCCAATCCGCCGTAGGGGGAGGTCAGTGTGTGGGGGCTAACCACTTTTTCCACGATTTGTCATCCGTTATTCTCAAAACCAACAGAAATGTCATATTTCGAATTCATTGGTTTTATTTAGTTTGCTTATTTTGTTTGGTGGACTGTGGAAGCAATATAGTTTCTGAAGCTGTCAGACGTCGTTTAGTTGGACCTGTGTGACCAACATGCCCGGGCTGCATTTAATTTATGTAATTAAAGAATATACATGTGAAACAAAAATCGATTTTTCTATGGACAGCGGGACACCCCGGGAATGGGAGGGGGTCTTGAGGGGCAACGGGGAGGATCATGGAGGAAAGGGGGGGGGGGGGTGTCATATTCTGGCCCCCAGAACAAAAATCAATAAATTATCCCAGTGCGTATAATTATAGCCTATATATTTATTTCAGCAAAACATAGGCCTTCACGTACTGCACTGCTTTTATTGTTTTGATCAAATCTTTAAATAAATCACTTGCTTTGTAATATCATACAGTTATGATAATACAGTTTGATGTTTTTGTAAGATAACATTGAGTAATGTTGATCTGGAATCTTCAAAATTACGGAACCAAATAGCAGTGTTAGCAGGCGGAGCCGAATGAAGACCGAGTTTTGGAAAATCTCGGTAACGGTCGTCAAATTCAAAATTGTACATGACGCAGCAAAAAGTTCGCCCGTACGATCCGAGTATATTTGATGCACAAAATCGTCGTTGAATTTCAAGTTTTCTAAACGA